ACAGGTCTGCAAAGGAATGGTCGTGTTTGTCAGACCCAGTAATAAAAAACAAATGATATGGGTGGGGCGCTGCATCACTGATGCAGAGGAGGACGCGGAAACTAACTCCTTCAATGTAACTGTGGAGTGGTTCAAGCCAAGTTTCGGATATACGAAGGATTGCCTAGAAAAGAGATGGGTGCTGAATCCAAGGGATCCCAGCATGAGCATATCGGTGGATAATGTTGTGCATGGTTGGATGCGGAAGCAGAGTGCCACTATCACCTTGCCAGACCATGCAAGAGATGCAGCAAGAGCATTCATAACCCGGGTTCAAGGTGAGATTCATTAATATTCCTTTACTAAGTTTCTAATGTATTTTATTTCAAGGTGAACAATCCAAATCTGAATCAGAGGAGGCGTGATGGCATGTGGCCTTACACCATTCCTAGGTGAGATGATACAAATAACAAGTATAAATTCTTAGTTGTTCTAGCAAATCTTACTTAAAGTTCAAGGTGAACAAGCCGAATATGAATTCATCGGATTGTTATAACAAATTGCGAGGTGATGGCATGAGGCGATACGCCATTTGAGAGTGGTAGCCATTCCTATATAAGGTGAGTGAAATATTTATTAGAAATACCTCATTCAATTGTGCACTTCTAAGTCTTGGTCCACTCAGTACTGTTTGCATGTTTTTATTTTAATTATTTCTCTAAAATGTTATTTAGCATGTGGCTTCATGCCATTGCTCTCCACAATCATGCATTGAATTTTTCTATCCTTGCATAATACTTCTCCATATATATAGCATGTATGCACATGTGATATGGTTCATTAGGCCTGATATAGTGTGTAAGGTAAAACAAAGATGATGTGACATATGCATTTACCAATCACACGTGCATAAATCTAATAATATGGTGTGTGGCCCATATTAATGGCACATAAACCCATATTGTGGGCTTACGTGCTTTATGTACCATCATTCCCTTGCAGCGTGTGTGTTGGTTTCCTTTTATAACACAACGAACTCCATATTTTAGGGTGAAGAGCGTTCTCATGGCAAGCACAAAATCTGTAAGTGAGGCAGAAAAGGAGACGGAGAAGGAGATAGGTGAAGATGTAGAATATATAAGTCTTCCAAACTCCCCGTACTATACTCCAGGTGATCATTTTTCTGAACAAACGGCAACATTAACAACTATCGAGAACGCCCCAGTAACGTCAGAGACAACAATCCAAAGCAAAACAACTGACCCGGAGAAGGATGATAGTACCGCTGAGAGTACCAAAAAGGAGGTGTCCACTAGCGCTTAGGCTTATAATGGCGTGTGCCCTCATGTCATTTACTTGATCACCAAATACCTTTTTCCCTTTGCACTAGTATATCTTAATACCGGTCTGAGAAATAGAATGGCATGTGCCCTCAGGCCTTTTACTAAATCACCTTTGAAAGAAATGCAAGCCTCTATGTCGTAAAAAAAAGGTACTAGAGAAATTCCTTAATAATATGAATGTTATTTAGTTTCATGAAAATACACTAAGGGTCAAGTGAATTAAATGACTTCTCCAGACTAGCAATGCCTCTTGCTACACCTTCACAATTAGATTCATTAGAAAAAGATAACATTGAATAATATCTAAATGTTCTCACCATTAAGTTATATGTCTGGCTAATAGGAATGACATTCATCTTGGAAAGCTCACCACACGCTCAATGAACAAACAAATAGTGTGTGCGCGCATGCCATCGCTCTTCTTTAGCTTCAGATTCGGCTTGTTCACCTTGACAATGAGATTTATTATACAACCAAATGGACTCAGTCTAGACACAAAGTCACCGCGCTAGTCACCATGCCCCAGATATGTCTAGCCCCTGGACAAAAAACATATAATTTCACGTCATTTTCAAATACTTGAAAATTTGTACTTAGTCCCATTTTACTGAATAAATCCCACTTTAACGAAATAGAGCATATACCAGTGGAATATTTCAACATGGGACTTTGGATCTCGCGAGAAATAACCTCTGGGGCTCGCTCCCACAAGCTTGCAACCTATAAGGCGTTGACACAGTTTGTGTCAATGCTGACTTTGGGTTGACTCCCACGCGGTTGCTGTGTTGTTGACATTCTGGCGACGTCTAGCTTGATAGTGCCGAGGAGGTGACAGACAAGATGCCATTTGCCGCCCATGGTGCTACATGGGGGAGCTTGCTAGCAGCGTGAACTTTCTACGAGAATGATGATCTGGCAGCTCGGGCAGCTGAGAAAATTGTGGAGTTTAGGCCTGAATGTCCATATGTGTTGGTTGCCAACCTTCACGCTGCTGGCAAAAGGCAAGACTACAACGCAAAGCTTTAACAGCATTTCTAAATTTGTATACTCAAAATGCAAGGATCGTGGAGGGCACTTTTTGTCGAGGCTGCTGATAATCCAGTTGATTTGCAGCAGGCGTGACAATCCTGATGTTGCCGGTGTTGGAAGTCAACGCTGATAGATCTCCTTCAAACTCGTTGTGGGAGAGATCCAAGTGAACCAGCCGGTGGAGCTGGCCGAAATCCATGTCTTGTTTTCCAAGCTTGACCTTGCCACCATGAGAATGGAGAGGCTCGAAGACTTACCCAGAGAAGCTGGAAGGCTGCCAACCAGAAGATTTTCTGACAAGTCCAAATAGTAGAGCTGTGCGCCTCCCAGGCCTAGGAAGATATTTCTCCGAGAACTGGTTTAGCTTTCCAAGGCAAGATGGTATTGAGTTCGAGGACAAATCACTTGCTGATGCTCGTCCGGCATGGCTGCACCAGGCCAGAATGGCGATCCTGTCTGGTGCAATCCCTGCCAAGTTCATCATCCGGAAGAGAAAGAGGGCTTCGTCTGCTGGCGCATGATCCTTGATATGGCATTCCACGACACGAGGTCCCGGACAAGCATTTCATGGAAAGTTGTGAGAGCTTCCTGAAAGAAGCCGTTTTACTAGTAGGCCGAGGTCATGATGTTCCATGCTGTGACTTCGCGAGTGGGCATGGATGCCAAGAGTCCCCTGGCCTCGCTCACTCTGCCGCAGTGAGAGAGCCCCGTGATCACTGAGCTCCATGACACAACGTGCCTCTGCAGCATTCTGTCGAATGCGAGCCTGGCCTCATCCAAGCAGGAGAATTGGCAGTAGACTGCGATCATGGTGTTCCAAGATACTGGGGTTCTCTCAGGCATGGATTTGAATCTCGTTTGGCACTGCTCTAAGCAACCATTCGTCCAAATGCCACGAGCTCTACATTCCATGAGATGACACAGTGTTTTGGCATCCTTTCCAGGACCTGCAAGGCTTGAGCGCGATATCCCGCTTCGGAAGTTCCACGAAAATGGATCCGCATCAAAGCATCAACGTATCCAAGTTGGGCATTTGCTGCAACAACAGCATTCCAGGAGACGACATTGCAGAAAGGCATTTTTCTGGAACATGATATTCACAAGATTAATGGAGCTGTTCTGTGCGCCAGATGACATCAAAGCAGTCCAGGAGATCACGTTTCTTTTGATCAAACATAAACTTTGCGTGATCAACACACCGCTTTGAGCATAGGCTGACACTGCGATGTTCCACAACACTAAGCTTCTGCATGGCATTTTATCAAACATCATCCTTGTCATGTCAATCTTACCATTCTGTAGAAATGATTTTGCCAGAACATTCCAGGTACCCGCTGCTTTGCCTTGCGTTGAATCAAACATCTCTTTTGCCTGACCAAGATGCTCCCCCCAATAAAATCATCAGATCAAATCCCTTTCCTCCATTGCAAGAAATATCCTCGCCTCCACATCCATTCCATTTTGCACAAACGCAGTGATCATGGCCGTTGACGACAAGGCATCGTGAAGTGGCATCCTCTCAAACACGGGGCACCAAGGATATCCGGCTTGGGCATACGCATTGAATATCCTTGTCCACGAAAAAGAATTCTGTTGCGGCATAACGTCAAAAAGGGCCTTGGAAACCTCCAGACCGTTTGGCAAATGTGGAAATGAGGCAGTTCCATGCTACCTCGTTCCGCTTAGGCATCCTGTCAAAGAACTTTCTAGCCAGAAGGGACCGTGCAAACGCGATTATCATCAATTTCCAGGTGATTAGATCCCGCCCGCGCATGCCATCGAATCAATCCAGCGTCTTCAAAATACCTGGTCTGGGCATATACAATAGTCACGGAGTTCCAAAAAACTGTGTCAGGTAGGGGGACTTGATCTTGGCTTCTTTCAGTCGACCATTGTGGTTGTAGACATTGAGCATAATGTTGTGTGATCTGGTGTCAGGGTTCGGGATAGAGGCGAAGATCTCCAAGGCCCGCTGCAGTTCCCCGCAAGCGCCATACATGAGCACCAGATAATCCGCCAGGAACTTGCAATGGCGGAGATTGGAAATAAGCATGGAGCTGTCCTCGTTGAGATCTTTGCTCCTGGCACATGCCTTGAGACGGTGTCCCAGTTCTTCCACAGATCCATTGCTCTTGCTGGAGCTGCCATATTGTGCTGTGAGAATCTTTCTGAATCCTTTTACAGACAATATGATAATATATATACATTAATGTTTAGCTAATATAAGTTTGTTATTTAAGTAGACATAATAAAAATTGACAGAAATTTGAGAGATCTGCTGTATTTTTGGTTTAGTTGTAAATTTGATGTTTTTCAGAATGTTTGCCATCCAAATATTGTGTGGATATTTGTGATGTGCTCCTCATACAAGATTTGACTTGTAGATTGGTGGATTCCTCATTGATAAGTTTTGGTAGACGTCCTATCACGGCATCCTTGGATGGATTGCAAAATGCCACAATGGAGAGGTGAGTTTGATCATGGACAAGGACTTGGTGTTTAATGCTCTTGTATTTTCTATTGCTCAAGATCTGGATGGAAGAGAACAAGAACCATGATCAAAGTACTATAAAAGTGGTTATTCAACGTAGCGTCACTTTTTGTGTGGATTGACCCCAAGGATCAGTTTTATGCTCGTATTACTGCCAATTCACTGAGAAAGGCAATGAGGTCTGGGCTGGAATTTTGCAACGCCAGAGAGGGCTTTGTGACCCCATCTCACACCTCACTGGAGATGTCATATATAGAGTTTGATCGTTTATCATCACGATGATGGACCAAGAACAATCAGCGAATGGCTGGAGCTCAACTTTTCTTCACGAATCATCAGGCCTGGGGCGGCCAAACACTTCTCTTCTCCTTCTCATACTTGACAAACAACGCAGCTATGGCGAGCATGGTGTAGGCCTGGATCCCAATTATCGCTGCTTCATGGTACTTGACAAAGCTGCTGCCCGTTGCTAGCTCTACCAGGAGCAGCGCCGCCAAGCCGAGCATCGCAAACCTTCCATTGAGCCTCTCGGTGTATGGATTAAACCCGAGCTCCACCACTAGACCCTCCGAGATGGCATCCTCGAGAGGCACCGGCGGTAGCAACAACGCCTTGCCTCCTTTGCTGGCGCCCCCGCTGCCTTCCAGTTTCTTCGCCCTGCGTGCCGCAGCCTTCTTTCCAGCAGCGGACTTCCTCTGGATCCTTGCTAGCCGGGCCTCAAACTCTTCCTCCTCGCTGCTCACTGCACGTACCTGGAGACCGAATTGCTTGCTCTTGTGCTGCCGGGAACAATGCCTGACGCGTGAGTTTGGAATGGTGACGAAGGTTGAGCCTGCCGTCGCCATAGCCAATGCCTTCCCACCCCTTTTGTCTATCCACTCGTGCTTATCTCCTAACCGAGAAGCTTGAACCGGCCAACGTAACCAAGCTCTCACTGTGCCTTGTTGTTGAGAGCTCCGAGCTCGTCCATTTGCTGCTGGACAGTAACCAGTCCAGTCTCGGAGACAAACCTGATAGAAGAAGCCGCAAGAACGAACTTTTGTAAGAGCACAAAGAAGACGGCCTTACCATTTGAGGAGAAGGAAGAGCGTTGCTGCGAGAGCTGTGAGGCAGCAGACATGGAGCAGCAGCTCGTTACTGCTCCACTGCACTGCGATTGCAAGCTGCACGGCTAGAACCACGGACAAGGAGATCATCACGTTTCTAAAAGCCGTCCATGTTGGTCTCTGCAAACACACGACCTCAAGCCATCATCGCAGCGAAGAAACAAGAAAACGAAAGCACTCACATTGACACCGGGAGCCAAGGCGCCTACGATCACAGCCTCCGCCATATCTGTGTTTAGGGTAGCTCTGAATAGAAAACCAAAGAAAAGAAAGACAAACACCTCTCTTTCATGGAGATCTCGTTCTCTCTTTGGTTGATGATGATGATGAACTCCCATATATGCTTGCCATCAAGTCGTAAGTTGCCGGATCACGCTCTCCGAGCTCCAGCAATGACTCAAAAGCCACCTTTCCCAAGCCCACATTCTTCCACTTCTTGCAGGCCGCCAGTACTGCCCTCCACGCTACCGAGCTCGGCCTGTGCGGCATCCTCTCGAGCAAGCCCACTGCTTCGTCCAGTCGATTCGCTCGGCCCAGCATATCGACCATGCACACGTAGTGCTCCTCCCCTGGAGTGATCCCATGCTTGGAGCTCATCTCCTGGAACAGCTTCTTGCCTTGCTCGACGCGGCCGGCGTGGCTGCAAGCGGTGAGGACGCAGACGAGAGTGACGCAGTCGATCTCCAGGCCTTCGTCCTCCATAGCGTGGAAGAGCTCGAACACCTGCTTGGAGTCGCCTTGGCGGCTGTATCCTGCGATGAGCGACGTCCATGTCGCGGTCCTCCTGTGGTTTGCCTCGAGAATCCGATGAGCGTCCACCATGTTCCCACACTTGGCGTAGAAATCCAGCAGACAGTTTGCTACAACCGCGTCGCTCTCCACACCATCTCTGCAAATCTCCGAGTGGATCGCCTTGCCAGTTTCCAGTGCTGCGTTGCTGCTGCATGCGCCGAGACCGACCGCAAAGCTCTGCTCGTCCGGAGATGGACCTCCGCTCCTCATGCACCGCAGGAGCTCGAGCGTCAAGCGCTCCTCGTTGTTTTCCGCGCAAGCCCGCATCAGAGCGTTCCACAGAACAACGTCGAGAAATGGAATCCTGTCGAAGGTCATCCTTGCGTCCACCAAGCTCCCACACTTCCCGTACATGTCCACCACCGTACTTGCGACGAAAGCATCGAACTCGCAGGAGCCACTGCCGAGAGCTTGGGAGTGAAGAGCCATGCCCCTCTTGAGAGTCTTCAACTTGACAAGCCTCCCCTCGACCTGTGTCCCTTCTTCCTTCGCAGCCAAGCTAGCGCAAGCCTTTATCACTGCTAGAAAAGTCCGAGCATTCGGTTCGCAGCCTTGTCTCCGCCGAGCCCGCGAGAAAACTTCCAGTGCCATCTCCGCTTCACCACTCTCGGCATAGCCAAGCACGAGAGCAGTCCACGAAACCACGTCGTGTCCCTCCATCCTGTCGAAAACCCGTCGAGCATCCAGAGTGCTCCCACACTTCGTGTACATGTCGACTAGCATGCTTCCAACGAAGAGCTCCTTGTCACAGCCAGCGCTCTCGGCTTGAGCGTGGATCGCCATTCCTTGCTCCAGAGCTACAGCTTTCACGGCCTTGCCACCTCCAAGCTGCGTCCCTTGCTCGCTCGACGCTAGCGCACCGCAAGCTTTGGCCGCGAGCACGAAAGCTCGGGCATCCGGCACGCATCCCTGAGCCTGCATTCGCAGGAACAAACGTAAAACCTCTTGCGCATCACCGCGGTCAGCGTACCCGGCCAGGAGCGCCGTCCACGACACAAGGTCGGGCTGTGGGAGCTTGTCAAAGACTTTGCGAGCGTCCGCCACGCTGCCGAGCTTGGCATAGCTGCCGATGAGCGCGCTCGCCACGAAAACGTTGGTGTCATCGCCGGTTTGCGCTGCCTCGGCGTGGAGCTGGACGAGCTTGCCGAGATCCTTGCAGTCTTTGAGAGCTGCCAGGAATTTGCGCCGCCGCGACTTCTCCTCGAGGCGCTGGAGCTTGATTCGCTTCCTTGAAGCCTCCCGAGCTTCCTGAGAGTTTTCCAAGAGATTTTAGATCTTTCTCTAGAGAAGAGATTTTCCACAGGGAGAGCGAGAACTTACCGATCTTTCGTGCGCGGCACTGGAGCAAAAGGAACTCCTCGTGTAGCGCGCGAGGGAAATGCGAGGCCTCGCGATCTTCAAGAGCATCTTAGGCGCAAAACCCTAAAACCCCGGCATTTCTAGGGTTCTTGGGTCGGGGCCATGGCGCGGGAGGCGGATGCGTCGTTGGGCTACCTCACGCGCAAGGAGACGGAGGTAAAGCTGCCGCGGCCGACGCGCGTCAAGAACAAGACGCCGGCGCCAGTCCAGATCACCGCCGAGCAGATTCTTCGGGAGACTCGCGAGCGCCAGGAGCCCGAGATCCGGCCGCCCAAGCAGAAGATCACCGACAAGCAGGAGCTCGACGAGTACCGCCTCCGCAAGCGCAAGGAGTACGAGGATCTCATCCGCCGGGTACGCTGGAACATTGGGGTGTGGGTCAAGTACGCCCAGTGGGAGGAGTCCCAGAAGGACTTTAACAGGGCGAGGTCGGTGTGGGAGAGAGCTATCACGGTCGACTACACGAACCAGACGCTATGGCTCAAGTATGCCGAGATGGAGATGAGGAACAAGTTCGTGAACCACGCCAGGAATGTATGGGACAGGGCCGTGAATTTACTGCCCCGGATCGACCAGCTCTGGTACAAGTACATCCATATGGAGGAGATGATGGTGAACATCGGTGGTGCTCGCCAGATTTTCGAGAGATGGATGCTCTGGGAGCCCGACCACCATGGCTGGGCCGCGTATATCAAGTTCGAGCTCCGGTACAACGAGGTGGAGCGGGCACGTGGGATTTACGAGAGATACGTCCGCTGTCTTCCCACCGTCAAGGCGTGGATCCGGTTCGCGAAGTTTGAGTTTAAGAACGGGGACGTGACGAGGGCCCGGGATTGCTACCACCGAGCGGTGGTGGAGCTCGGCGAGGATGGTCAGACCGAGGAGCTATTTGTAGCGTTTGCCAACTTTGAGGAGCGGTGCAAGGAGTTTGAGAGGGCCCGGGCTATTTACAAGTACGCTCTGGACAACATACCGAAGTCGCAGGCGGAGGAGCTGTACAAGAAGTTTGTGGCTTTTGAGAAGCAGCACGGGAACAGGGAGGGTATCGAGGATGTGATTGTGAGCAAGCGAAGGTTCCAGTACGAGGATGAAGTCAAGAAGAATCCACTCAACTATGATTTCTGGTTCGATTATATTCGGCTGGAGGAAAGTGTTGGGGACAAGGATAGGATTCGTGAGGTCTACGAGCGAGCCATTGCAAACGTGCCTCCTGCGGAAGAGAAACGGTACTGGCAACGATACATATATCTCTGGTACGCAAAGCAAAAAAAGAAGTTGCTTTCAGATTGCTTTATCAACTTTTGTTTTAATTTTTCGTGCAGGATCAATTATGCTCTGTATGAAGAACTCGAGGCTGAAGACATGGATCGTACCCGGGATGTTTACAGGTACGTATTTTATAAGTCTGTCACTTGGAACTCCTTACCTGATCGTCGTGTTTTATTTTTCAGTGCTTGTCTGGGCATCATACCGCACAAGAAATTTACATTCGCAAAACTCTGGTTAATGGCTGCCAAGTTCGAAATCAGGCAGAAAAATCTGACTGCTGCTCGAACGATTCTAGGAAATGCAATCGGGAAGGCACCCAAGGACAAGGTAAGGTTTTCTTGCGGGCCATTTATGCAAGGTTTTTATGCACTCTTTGCTCACAGATATTTAAAACGTATATCGAGATAGAGCTCCAGCTTGGGAACATGCACAGGTGCAGGGCGCTATACGAAAGATACCTTGAATGGGCTCCCGCTAATTGTTACGCATGGAGTAAATATGCTGATCTAGAGCAATCACTTGGAGAAACTGAAAGGGGTCGGGCCATTTTTGAGTTGGCAATATCGCAGCCTGTCCTTGACATGCCCGAGCTTTTGTGGAAGGTAAGATCGTAAACACGAAGAGTTCTCTTCCGTGCTGACATTCGTTTTGTCTTCAGGCGTACATTGACTTCGAAATCAACGAGGGGGAGAACGAACGCACGAGGGAGCTCTACGAGAGATTATTGGACAGGACGAAGCATCTGAAGGTGTGGCTAAGCTACGCCAAGTTTGAAGGGGGCGTGAGACTGGAAGAGGAATCCGTAGCTCAAGGAGAAGAAAGGGAAATCAATCAGGACGTCTTGAGAGAACAAGCGTCGCAGCGAGTCCGGCGGGCTAGAGGTAAAGCACTCTTTGCCAAACTTGTTTAACTTTTGTCTTCCCTCAGGCGTCTATGAACGAGCATTCGAGTACTTTAGATCTTCAGCCCCGGAGCAAAAAGAGGACAGGAAGATGCTGCTCGACGAATGGCAACAAATGGAGGAAAGCTTCGGTGACCTTGGCGATGCTGCTACGGTGAAGAAGAAACAACCGAGGACTGTCAAGCGGAAGCGACCGATAGCGCAGGAGGACGGGACGTTTGCTGGGTACGTAGTATATATAACATTTACCCTTTCCTCGTTTCTTCTCGAGACTCACGGCTTTTCTTGGTCACTCCAGGCAAGAGGAGTTCTACGACTATATATTCCCAGACGAGACCTCGATGGCTCCCAATCTCAAGATACTGGAAGCCGCTTACAAATGGAAGAAGCAAAAGACAACGATCGAGGACAACGATTGAGGTGTTGTTTTGTCCTTGTCCGTCAGAATTCTCGGATTGTACACTCTTTCTAACATGTAGCTCGGCTGAAAACGAAAGAAGCCAAAGATCAAGCTACGTTCTAAAGGGCCAAACATGTATTCATACAAATTTTGATGTTCTGGGTTTGCTATAGTTTGACTAGTTTTGACTAGTTTGATCATGACTAGCTAGCTGCTGGACGCTTCTTCCCAAGATGTGCGCAAAGAACCCCTCGCTCCATGCGTTAGACAGCTTCGCGTTAATCTTTCCCACAACGTGTGGATCCAAACCCATGAGATAATTCAAGAACCGGGTGGTGACTGCATACCCCTCGTCCGGTTCCAGCCTCCACGTAGAACGGCCGCAACCCTGCCTTGATGATCATAAACTCGGATCAATCCCTGCGGCGCATTGCCACGCCCGTCCCACGCCAGACGTGGGTCATCTCGGGATAGATTACCATCTATATCCTCTGGACCAGGTCCCCGGTAAACCACGTGACCAAGAGAGCTCCCAGATGGATTTGATCCTGGCTCGTGAGTAGCCAAGGATCCAATGGTAGCAAGAACTCCCTTGACTCTCATGGCAGATTTGAAGCGCTGGCCGCGAGTCCCTTTGGCATTGTTGACAGCCACTAAAACAACGTTGGCCCTTGCAATTGGAACTAAGAAGAAAGCGATGGCCAGAATGAAGGAGGTTGTCCCATTCGAGAGAGAGAGAGGAAATCTACATTGAATTTCTCGAATTTGCTGTTATAGTGTCAAAATAAAGTCAAAGAGCAACATGGCTAAGTTTTCAATTGCTTCTTTATTTTGGAGCTGAGCTACAAAGTTTTGTTCCTAGTCCAACTTTCATGTCAGTGAACAGTTTCCTGGGCTCCAGCCAGCTTCAAACTCACCACTTAGCACTTCCACATCTTGTGGCACTGAAGAGTTCTTTATGACTTAGTTGCTATTTAAGCTAATTTATCAATGTAGTTAATATTTAATTTACTTCATTCCTAGTAAAAAGTCTGTATTTTTGTCATATACCCTTAAGTATCCACAAACAGTAAAATTCTAGTTTATTCTAACTAGTTATGTAAAATTTATTTCTATAAATTTTAAATTATGTAATTATAATAATGTGCTGTTGTGAGTGCATGGAATATGGAAATGGGATACAAAAAATATACATATCAATTAGCCCAAAAACATTAACTTATATACAGGAGTAAATGGTCCGAATTGAAACTAATCCAATAATTACCAAAATCCCATTATAGCATTGTAACCATACACTTAGACCTTACATCATCCTTTTTTCTCGGAATGATAGAAGATTGTCAAGGTTCTCTCATGGATGGGCCAAGATCTAAAGGAACATAAAAAAGAGGCATTAATAGATCTGTAAGTAGTGTTAGTTATTCTTGATTTCTTTGTACAAAGCATTTTATCTATTGTATATGCACAATTTTTAGAGGATTGGTTTGCTAAATGTCATGCTGAACTTCATAAACTTGTGATCCCATTTGCCAGAACACTTGATATGATCCTTTCCACTTTAGTAAAGAGCCCTTTAGATAAACCATGTACCATAAAATTGGAAAAATGTACTTACACTAAGTCATCCACTTTGTACTCTGCAGGTAAACAATAATGGGAGTTATAACATTATTGTTGTCACACTTGTATGTTGCCCAGGTGTTCAACAAACTCTGCTCGGACAAGTGGAAGAATGCTCATCAAATATTGATCCCATAACCTAACATTGGTAGTTTGTGACAATTGTAAAGGTAAACCCAACTCTGTTGGTAGTATTGGATCATGATTATATAGGAGGTTATATAGTGAAGCATCAATAGAACTCTATACCCCTATGATATACGCATACCGAAGAGATAGTAAATAACCATCCCAATCCAAATGCTAAAAGTTTATGTACTTTGCGATCATCTCTTTGAAGGTCTGAAGGAGTTGTTCCACCAAACCATTTGATTATGGATGATAAACACTTGTGAAAGTGTGGTATATCCCCAAACAAGATGCCACAATATGAAATGCCTCAACCATAAATATAAGACCATTATTTGAAAAAATTCACTTTAGACAAGAATGCTAAAACACCACTCAATTGAGGAGGAAGTAACCAATAGCAGTGGCAGATGCACTAGCAAAAGCATCAACTTCCACCTAATTAATCAAGTTGTCAAAAACAATAATGACATATTCATTACCTGTAATTGACCATGGAAAAGGCTTTATTAAATCAAATGCCACCAACTCAAACGGACGGGAAATTACAATTAATTTCAACTTTTCTTTCACAGCATGAGGGGAAGTATTATGAGTTTGGCACCAAACATAGCTATGCACATACTAGATAATATCACATCGTATTTCCAGCTAATAGAAAAACCTGCGTAACTTCTCGGTTACACAAAAATGTCCCATATACCCACATAGAATAAGAGAATCATAGTAGGCATGGAGAAAGTGTGGAATAAAGATCGAAGGCACCATCAGTTGTAAATAATTAATAGGATTCGTCCCCACATAATAAAGAAGATCGTCCTCAAAGCGATATTGAGAATGTAAATGCTAAAATGGTAAGTCATTAGTAAGTGATGTAGGATTCTTAAACCCATTGTGAAACCTTCAAATCCACAGCTTAATCTTTTGAGCCTCATAGACCTAGTCAAGAGAAGGTAAACCTTGCTCTGCACCTTGTGGACACTAAATGTTAAGTACAACAACCTTCGACAGCATGGAATATTCATCCAAAAAATCCACAGATGCAAGAACAATAGGCTTATTAAAAATATGAGAAGACAGTAAAGAAGGAAAATGAGCTCAAGAAAAGGCATCAACATCAGCCATAAAACTTTCTGGGTGATGAACAACACCAAAATCATATATTTGAAGCTTCAAAGCCCACCGAGCAGTAAGTTTTTTCACTTTAATAATGAAGTAATTATAGCATGATCACCTTCTAGTAATGTCTGAAAACCATGTAAATATACTTGAAGTTTCTCGAAACCCCAAACTGCTACTAAACACTTTTTTTCTGTCGTGGAGTAGTTCACCTCCGTTGGTTGTAATGTATGGCTGATATATGCAATGGGATGGTGTTGATTAAGCACACTCAGGCTCTCTTGCATCAACGCATCTTTAAGTCCGATATTAGATGCATCTATGTGCAAAATGAAAGGTTAAGTATAGTCAGGATATGCCAAAACTAGAGGAGTTGTCAATAATTCTTTGAGATTAGTAAATGTCTACTCACAGTTTGCAGACCAAATGAAAGATGAGGTTAACATCTTCAAAAATACTTGCAACTATGCAGTGCGATTAGAAAGATAATCAACAAAACGACTGAGATGCTACATCTTGCTTAGGAAGTGCTACACATCATTCATATACTTTAGAGTAGGGAACTTTAGAATAGCCACAAATTTATCAGGATCAACTTACAAACCTTCACGAGAAATATAGTATTCAAGATAAGTCGTGTCCTTGGACCCAAACATGCATTTTGACCATTTCAGTTTAAAATCAATTTCCCGAAGTTGATCTAACATCTTACGAACATCACAAACATGTTCCTCCCATGTCCCCTTCGAGTGGATTAAGACATCATCGATAAAGTCAACAATCACCTTTAGCATATCGCAAAGAACCTCATCCATTATTTACTAAAAGTTGTTAGAACATTGTTCAAACCAAATGGCATCATCAAGAACTTGTACAAACCAAATGGTGTATGAAAAGCAATCTTAGAAATATCGTCTTCGGCTATTGGTACTTGCTAATAATTAGAAGCAAGATCTAACTTGGTGAACTAACAACTTCTCCCTAGAGATCCAAGAGATCAGCAATATGAGGAAGAGGGTACACATTTGGGAACATCATTTTTTTTAATAGATAATAGTTAATGCAAAAACGAATATGCCCATCAGACTTCGTCACAAAATGAAGTTCACACACCTAAGGACTCCACGACTTTCAAGTAACACCCTTTTCTAACATCTCATTAATGTTTGTAAGTAAAATCTTGATCTCTTTGGGTGACCAACGACGAACAAGAACCTTGATTTGGTAAGCATTTTTAGTTGAAATAGGATGATATATTGCAATCTTAACCTCAAATAATAGGTCAAATTCAAAGAGATTAACATACTCCTTCATGAGTAGATCAACCGTTGCAACATAAAGACTATCAAAGGGATCAGAAAAGATAAGAAAGGAACAAAATGGAAACATAAAAGGAAATAATTTGGAGACAAAAGTGATGGAAGCACAAGGAGAAGCAAAGGGATAAAAAGAACATAAGTGAGAGGAATGGAAGAAATATAAAGAAGTATGAGACAAAAGGGAGAAGCCTCAAAGTCACACTTGGCATGATTATACCGCAACTAATCTATACTAAGAATGAGGTCAAAAGCTTGACTCGGCATCACCTACAATAACTGCAACTCAAGCTCGAGATTGCCCATATACATAATCAGGTCTGCTTCATCCCATGTATATGCATGTATACGACTGTTGCCATAAAGAATAAAAATTGGCTCTACTGCACAACATAAATGTAGACGGTAATATATGGCAACAGATCGAATAATAGAAAATAAACTCAAGTGTAAGCGACTAATTTTTCCATTCTACTTTAGTCACTTAACCACACCTTCGACCACTTGGAGGAGTCTCATTCACACCCTCCATAAGTCCAATTCAAGACTTGGGGCATGCTAGCCCCGATAATGGCATCCATGCCACTTAACATTTGCACTTGGTCTAAATGCCTCACATGTCCGATCCCATGGTCAACCCCCAAGGTACCACTGATATATCAACCTGTTATGCTAAAGCCATGCCCATTCACTTTGGTCATACCGGTGGTCTAACACCACCTGCATCACAGTCCTGTCTTTCAAAGATTGGGCCATCTGTCCATGAGTGATTATCCCAAATCCACTCTGTAAGGAACCAACTCGCCAAGGTGTCATAGGCTAAAGGATCCCCGAAAGCATGACCAAATGACAAAGAGTTCATCGGATGGGACTGAGTCGAAGATCGAGTCCAGGACCGAGTCGAAG